AATGAAAGCTCTACATAAACTGCAATGTTGTGCACTTTCTATTGTGCACTGGGAACAGCTGTGTGTGGAGTCAGGCTGAGCTGGGCTGGAGTTCGTGTTCTACTGTCACTGGCAGTGTGGTCTTGGGTAAACAGGGTCCTTTTTCTCAGCCTCAGGCTCTTCATCTGTTAAGTAGGACTACTCATTGTCTCTACAGTTCACAGCCCTGTTTTGGAAATCAAACAAAGATTAAGTGAGATAATATAAGTGTCTGGCATATAGTAGGCGCTCAGCAAACATCTTCCCCAGCAACAGAGGCACATGCAGCCCTTAAATCCCTGGAGGTAACAAGGCCTTCTCAAATCCAGAAGAAAAAGCAAGCAGGTGGTGAACGAGCCCTCTCCGGTTTCTCTTCTAAGAGACTGACTCACTGGCCAGAGTCCAGGTTGATCAGCGAGGCAGAGGACAGACAGGCAAACACTAGCCTCCCACATGGAGTTTCCAAAATATGCAAGCGCAGAGTTGCATAACCTGAGACACTTGTCTCCCTGAAGTGTTTTCCCGCAAATCTTCCCTGAAAAAGATCACATGCTCGGGGGCTGTAGGGCAGCCTTGGGGAGGAAGAAGGGAGAAAAGGCAGGGCTTGGAGACGTCTGGGGTGGGGTAGGATTAGAAAGAGAAGGTATCACATTTACGGAGCTCCTACTGTATGCCAGGCACCGGGGCTCCCTCGGGGCTCACTCTGTCTGTTATCTACTTAGATCTTTGCCATCAATCTGGGAGAACAGCTTTTACCACTCCACATTCCAAGGGAAGAAATAATAACAATAATTAATATCACTGATGTTTACAGAACACTGACTACGTATCCGGCAGCGGGACACTGCCTGGCACACATCTGATTCTAAGGACAGCCCAGCACGTGAGCCATGAGCGCTATTTGGACTCCCATTTCACAGAGGAGGACGCTGGGACTCAGAGAGATAACGTAACTTCCCCAAGGTCACCCAGCTAGACAGCAGGAGACCTAGTATTCAAAGACTACCAGAGTTTCAAGGTCCACAGACCTCTAGGAGAGCATTTCCCGAAGGACTGACAGAGGTGGGGCTGGAAAGTGGACCCCAGCAGGAGTTGTCCTTGGGTGCCCACAGTGGGGGCCCAGTGTGGGAGTGACATCAGTGGCCAAGTGACCAGAGGCTCTCTCTTCCTCTGGGCCCAGAGTACAGTTTGTTCCAGCTCGTGGCTATTTGTCATTCTGCGTCTGACCGAAAAGTTTAACATTTCATTCATAAGTTTGGAAACTACAAACTTGGCAGTGTGGGAAAGGTCCTTGGAGATCAGCTATTTTAGTCCATATTACAGACTTAAGGGGAGGGAGTGGGGGGACAAAAAAAAACCCTGAGGCCCAAAGGGAGCCATGGATAAGGCAAGGTCACAGCATAATTTTCTGTTAGCAGAAGAATTAGTTTGAGGTCAATGACAGATCATCTCGTTGTGTAATGATCAAATGTGAGTGTACCTCTGAATCACCTGGGGAGCTCTTAGAGGTTCTGGAGATTCAGACTTCGGTTGGCAGCAAGGCTTGGGGATCTGACTGTATGTGTCCCTCAGGTGACTCAGATGGCACAGGGCCATGGACTGTGTTTGGAAGTTGGAGTCCAACACCCCCCTTTGATTTGACAGTTTGGGATACTAAGACTCAGCATGGGACTTGCCCAATGTCACGTGGCAAGTGAGCCGGGCCTTTGCACAAGCTATGTGGTCTGAACCCAAAGCTCATTCTCCTTTTCCAAGCCATCTATAGTCAAATTCTCAAAATGAGCCAGGAAGCCTGGCCAATAGTATGACTGTGGTTTTCCCCAGCTCTTGGTTTCCTTCTCATACCCAAATTACCACTTGGGAAGGTGCCCGTTTCCGGGGCTTGGAGAGGGAGGGATTCAAGAGTTGAGATTCTACAGGGAAAAGAAAACTGCAAGAGGCTGTTCAGCAGGTCCACGGGGGTTTCCCAATGGTGAGCTCCAGGACCCAAGGATGACTCAGACACCAGGTTCATTTTCCATTTCAGGAGAAAGGGGAGGGAAGGCCTTCCCTCTATGGGAGGAGACAGAGTGGAGAAGGCCCAGTTGTCACTTGAGGGGGCCCGACTCAGGAAGAGCCACACCACCCAGCACTCAGAAGAAAGAGGAAGCTGCCTACCAAAACCAAGTTGAACCAAGCATTTTTCTGGTACCTCTGCTTCAATATCTTCTTAACCCCACACCCCAGAACCACTTAAGCCTAGGGATTCACTGCTCCTTTTCCCCCTTCCTACCATCCCATCACATATTTCACGGTCTCCTTCCTTCTTCTCTTTTTATCTATTTATTTGTTTCACTTTATTTTTGGTTGCACTGGGTCTTTGGAGCTGTGCATGGGCTTCCTCTACTTGCAGTGAGTGTGGGTTACTCTTCGTTAAGGTGTGCAAGCTTCTTTTTATGGTGGCTTCTCTTGTGAAGTACAGGCTCTAGGGCTAGCCGGCTTCAGTCTTGCGGCACACAGGCTCACTAGTTGTGGCCAGTAGTTGTGGTTCACAGGCTTAGTTGCTCTCAGACACGTGGAATCTTCCCTGACCAGTGATCAAACCCGGGTCCCCTGCGTTGGCAGGAAGATTCTTATCCACTGTGCCAATACAAAGGAAGTCCCCTTTCTTTCTCTTTTTCTTTTTTTAAAGTCTGGAATGGTATCTTGGTATTTGGAGTCAGATGTCCTGGATTTGAATCCCAGCTCAACCTCTTATGAGCTCTGACCTGGGTAGAGTCACATCCCATCTCGGAACCTCAATTTCCTCACCTTTAAAGTGGGAGATAATATCTACCTCCTCTGATTATATTATTATTGTTATTATTATTCTGGCCATTGTGGGATATGAGTTCCCTAACTGGGATTGAACTCAGGCCCTTGGCAGTCAAAGTGCAGAGTCCCAACCATTGGACTGCCAGGGAATTCCCATATCTTCTCTAATTATGAGGATAACACAAGATCATATGGATACTTAATAAACAGAAGATGTTTTCTCAGAAGCACTAGATCATGTGAGTCATTAATAGACCAAAGAGATTTGTTGAGCTGAAAAAGGTGCTTAAAAGAACAGTTGAGCTGGAAAGCACCTCAGAAATCTTTGAGCCTTAATGACTTCCAAACCGGAGTCCAAGGGAACTGTTGACAATATTTCCAAATGATAAGGGAAGTCACACGTCTACTTTTGATAGAGTCTCACGTTTCTTTACCTCTGTCTGGAATTGGATCAACTCAAGGTGATAACATGGTTATCACATGCTGTTCAGAAATTCTGATTGGCAAGTTACATGGGTCTTTGAAAAGTTTTTTTTTTAATGTGAAAATAATTAGCAGAGGGTAGATTAAATGATGGAAAACATTAATCTTGTCTAACTCCTCATTTCATAAACAGGGAAGCTGAGGTTTAAAGAAGGACGTGACTTGCTAGTCACCCAGCTAGTATGGCAAGCTCTAGAAAACCTGAATTCTTTTCCTGGAACCAGTTACTTCCCTTCTTTCCATTCCAGAGGAGAACCTACGATCAAGAAAATCAAGGGGGATTGGTTGGCTGAGGCAGGAGTGAAATGACTCATAAACTTGCTGTTGCCCTTTCTCTATTCTTGACTTATTCAGCAAATATTTACTGAATGTCCACACTGTTTGGAGTCAGAAGAGGTTATAGAGGAAACAGTTATGGCCGCAGACAGCGTCAGGATCTGCTTCCAGGTATGACTTAAGAACCTCGCCTCCCCCACCAGCCCCACCCATTATAAATATAAGTGGATATACAGCTATAACTGAATATCTGCATTATAAAACCCCCACTACTGTGTCTTCTAATATAGTTAAGTTGGGTCTGAGGACAAGGACAGTCTCATTTTAACATGTACACATCTTCCTGACACTCAGTAGGGCATGAAATCAGTGCTGCAGTATTGGAAGCACCTGAATTTTAAAACAGGTTTTTTGTTTGTTTGTTTTATTTTGGCCATTTCATGTTTCATATGGGATCTTAGTTTCCGGGCCAGTGAACTAGTTTTAACCACTGGATGACCAGGGAAATCCCCACCTGAATTCTGCCACTAACTCTATATCTTTGAGACAGTGATGTTGCTTTCCTTCTCTGGCCCTTAGTTTTAATTATCTATAAACCAGAAACAGTAGCAAAATCATGTGTGGATTTGCTGGCTGGTTCATTTCAAGCTATTCTAGCCTTTAACTAGGAGAAAGATGATGTTGGGAGTTTAGGCTGAAAACGGAATGGACGTTATCATTTCGTTAACTCCCAAACATCTTTCCCTCTCCCTCGGCCGCTAGTCAACCGTCTGCTTTCGCCGCCCTGTTTTTTTTTAATTTCTCAACATTCTCCTCTAGAGGGCAAGCAAGCGCTACATTCTGTTGCCATACTTCCGTTCGCCTTCATTGTTTTCTTGCGCGCATGTGCGCAGTTCACTTCCGGGCTGACCTACGTTCGTTTGGCACGACGCCTGCGCAATCTCAGCCCCGCCCCCTCCACCCCGGAAACGCTTCCTTCCTACGCAGCCGCTACAGCAGCTGCAGCCGGTGGACCTTTGCCTCTCTAGGCCGGTAGGGCCTCTCCTCCATGGTCCTGACTGTCAGCACCGTTTCGGTAGCCAGTCGGTGCGGCTGGGCCGCGCTCGGACGCTTCGGATCCTCGAGACCGTAAACGGTGAGTGAACCCCACAGGAGCTCGAGGACGAGAGGGGCCCGAGCAAGCTGGAACGGGCAGGGTTTCCCCTCACGCTGGGAATGGGTCTGTCCGCCTCGTCCTCCCTCCCGCTCCCGGAATGGGCTCGCCGCCTCCATCCCAGTCCCTCCTCCCGGGCGGGGCGACGTTGTCATGGTGACGGCGGGCTGGCTGAGGCCAGGCGTGTGTCTTCGCAGGTGCAGGGGCGGCCCGGGGCCCATGGCGCGGCGGCGGCGCTGACCCGGGCCCGGGCAGCGGCCGGGCCCCGGGGGCCGGCATGGCGGGCCAGTTCCGCAGCTACGTGTGGGACCCGTTGCTGATCCTGTCGCAGATCGTCCTCATGCAGACCGTCTATTACGGCTCGCTGGGCCTGTGGCTGGCGCTGGTGGACGGGCTGGTGCACAGCAGCCCCTCGCTGGACCAGGTGTTCGACGCCGAGGTAGGATCACCGGGCTGGCGCGGGCGGCGCTTCGGTCTCACCTGGTGGTCTGACACTACCAGGCTCTACACCTGGCTGGACCACCTGACACTGAGGAAGTGACTTCACTTCTCTAAGCCCCAGGATCTCGGGTGCCAAATTGCGGCGAGGGGAATGGGTAAAAGAACATTCGTGGAGGTATGGTGGGAACTGCCCGGACTTTGTAGTCAGGCCTCTGTTTAAGTTACATGTACTAGCTGTGTGACCTGGGGCAAGTATTGTTCTCTCTCTGAACATCACTTTTCCTGTCTGCAAAATCATGAGACCGCTAGCAGGGAGGCCGTGGACTGCAGTACACAGAGCCTGGCTTTGAATTCAGAAATGCTTAGTGGCCAGCGGAGGCTGAAACATACCAGCTGTGGGACTTTGGGCAAGTTGCTTCATCTTTCTGAGCCTGTTTCCTCTTTCGGAATAAAATAATCCTCAGCAAAATGTTATGAGACCCAGAGGGGCCTGGGAATAAGAAAATGCTTTGCAAAAGTGTAACAGAGGGCAGAGAAGTGTAAGCTTCACAGAGGCAGATGTGGTATGTAGTAGTAAGCCCAGTTCTTGGAACCAGGAGATTTGGGATGGAATCTTTCAGCCTGCTTATCCTCTGTGTAGCCGTTGGGCAACTTATTATCCAAAAAGAGGTAATAGTAAGCGAGTTATTATCCAAAAAAGGTAATGACAACAATAATAATAATTGTATGAGGTTATTGTGAGGATACTATGAGATAATGAACGTTCCTCTTGCATGCTTAAAGAGTGTAGATGTTCAGTATTTGATAGTACTGTAACAATAGTGGTGGAAGCTGCACACCCACCAGTTGCCTAGTAGTATCCTCTCAGGAGCCTCTGTCCTCCTGAGGAGATGTGGAAATCTGAGGCTTTGTTGAAGAGCTGTCTCATACACACTACCTGAATTCTAGACCAGTAGTTGACAGACCTTTTTGTAAAGGGCAAGATGGTAAAGATTTTAGGTCACAGCTTCTCAATTCTGCCATCATAGCACAAAAGCAGCCGTGGACAATACTGAAGTGAATAGGTGTGACTGTTTCAATAAAACTTTATTTACAAAAATAAGTGCCTGGCCCCTGGGGCCATAGTTTGCTGAACACTGTTCCAACTTTTATGTTTACTTACTGTATCACTTTGGGCAAGTTACTTAACTTCTTTGGGTTTTTATTCCTTCTTTGTAAAATGAGGATGGTGATCCTTTCCTGGCTACTGTGAGGGGTCGGGTGAGATACAGTGATAGATGTCTGTAAAAGCAGCTTTTTAGAAATAGGCCACCATACAGACGAAGGGGTGTGTTGGCTTCTGTGGTCTCGGCAGGATGTTTGTTCCTTGCAGGGGGGTCCTGGAGCCTGGGGCTCTGCCAGTTTTCTCCTCCAGCATATTTCCCTTTGTGATTTCCCCCTCAGATCCTGGGCTTTTCTACCCCTCCAGGACGGCTCTCCACGATGTCCTTCGTCCTCAACGCCCTCACCTGGTGAGTATCACCAGTTTTCCTGTCCAGCTTTTGGGGTCTTAGCGCTGGAACTAACTTTCTAAATTCGGACCTGACACAGGCTGCCACTTGCTCCTGGGTAGAGGTGGACTAATGTGGGTGGCAGAGACCAGTTCTGGGACTGCCTCCATCGTAGGATTTTTTCCACCACTGTTCTGACTTAGCTGGAAAGCTCTTATGTCACTCTGTGCATGCTGCTCGGGGACAGCTTCCCTCTCAGATCACTTCCCTGATGTGGAATGAGGTGAGGGGAGGATTGGACTGGGAGTCAGGAGAACTGGATTCTATTCTTGGCCCATGTGCCATTAGCCAGGTTCCTTCCCTTCTCTCTGGGCATCCGGTCCTCACTTGTATGATGAGGACTTGGACTGAGAGGCAGTTTAAGTGAAGTGATTAAGAGCTTAGGCTCTAGAGGCTGACTCACTTGGCTTTGACTCTCAGCTCCACCATTAGTCTAGTGACTGTGGACAAGTTAATCTGTCTAAGCCCCAGTTTTTTCGCCAGTAAAATGAGGCTAATAATATTACCCACCTCATAATGGTAAGGGTTTCACGAGTTCATTCACAGGAGGTACTTAAAACAATGCCTTGCATGTTGCTGTTCTTGACCTTTTTCGCTGGAGGTTGAAAACTGGTGGGGTGACTGTGACCTGGATTTGGCTCCCAGATATGTTCTGTTTGACTTACCCAGTTGTCAACCCATGCAGGGTGTTTAAGATTTTTTTTTCCACTTAATTGAAAATCAGGATATTTTATATTAAAAACCTAGATTTCTGGTGCCTCTTAAGAAAATGGGATGATCAGTTGATTCCAGGCCAGCCTTCTAGCCTGGCGGTTTGTCTCACTGCGGGCCCCACTTTAGATGGAACATGTCTGCTTCGTGGTGCCACAGCCCTCCCCGGTCTCTCGGAGCCCCTTGGGCAGCAGCTGCCCTGATCATCACGCTCATTCTTCTTCCTCCTCCCCCACCTAACTCACTCTCAGCACTACCCGCCGGGTTCCTCTGGGCATCTGACAATGTAACCCCTGCCTCGCACTTCTCTCGCTTGCTCCTGACCCCTGTGCTGACATCCTGTGTCCCCACACTCCCCCAGATAAGCTGACCGAAGGCCAGGACAACCCAGTGACAGCTCACTGCCGTCCTCTCCCCACAGTGCCCTGGGCTTGCTGTACTTCATCCGGCGAGGGAAGCAGTGTCTGGATTTCACGGTCACTGTCCATTTCTTTCACCTCCTGGGCTGCTGGCTCTACAGCTCCCGTTTCCCCTCGGCGCTGACCTGGTGGCTGGTCCAGGCCGTGTGCATTGCGCTCATGGCTGTCATCGGGGAGTACCTATGCATGCGGTCGGAGCTCAAGGAGATCCCCCTCAACTCAGCCCCGAAGTCCAGTGTGTAGTGTCGGGTCCTTTGGACACCCTGCTGGGCACTTAACCACCCTTCCAACCCCTTGGGCTGCTCGGACCACCAGATGAGGTCCAGCCCAGGCCTGAGAGCAACCCGGGAAATGTGAAGTCTTGGTTGTGTGGGGGAGAGAGTGAGGCCCCCGTCAAGAAGGTGGGTAGTGGGCAGGATCAGAGCTGCAAGAACACCTCTGTCCACAGAAGCCTTGGTGTCTGGGAGGTCAGCGTGGGCACCTCTTTCAGGGTCATAGCAGAATTGGAACCATGTCACTCTTGAGCCACCATACCTGTCACCAGCCTGTTATTTTAAAAAGGAAAAAAAAAATCAAAGATATCTGATTGGAGCAAACCACTCTTCTAGCCATCTGTCTTACCTCCTGGGACAGCCGTTACATACCTTTGCCACGTTGCCCTGACTGCAGCTGTTCAGTTGGAACAACCCTTGGTTTCTGGATCCAGAGCCACAGAAAGAGATGTAGGTGCCCAGTAAGTAGCAGAGAATGGCAGGTGGAGGCATCAAGCAGGAAAAAAAAAAACCCCAAAACGCACAGCCAGTGTCCTGCTGCACACATGCGCGCACACACCCCTGAACCCCGTGACTGTCTTCCGGTTCTCTCTACTGGGTCCCCAAGCTGCTGCCGGCTTTCCACATAGTGGGCCGGAGGACCCAGAGAAGAATCCCAGCATCGCTGCCTGTCTTGTGTTTGACCTGGCGTCACAGCCTGTTCTCTAGGAATGACCAGGCACTCTGGCTCCCACAGGACCTCCGTTCTGGCGGTACTTCTGTTTTCCCGCCTTATTTGGAATCCCACAGTGGGAGGGAACCGTGCGCGCCCAGACCCAGGGAGCCCAGCCTTGCAGCTTGAGGTGTACTTGATTGTACCGCAGGAGATAGGAATTTGCTACCAAGCTGTTTCTTTGAGGTGGAGTGTCCTCTGTGAGGGGGCTTGCAGCTGCCCTTCCTATGTACATAAATACAGTATTTTCCATGGTTCTGCCTGCGCTTTATTTTATAATGCCATGCTTGGGACTGGGAGGGGTCAGCACATTCAGACATTATTTCCTTCTTGAGCCCAAGTGTTCCTCCAGTTGGTTAAAACATGGAGCGCGGGGAACTCCTGTGTCCCAGCCCCACCTGTAGCCTTCTCCGCTTCACCTTGGTGAACCGCCATGACTCAGGATGCCTTTCCCACTTGCCAGTGATTTCTGACTGTGCCCAGTGAAACGCACCGGTCTAGACCCACTTCCTCACGGAAACCACTGCTGCTCCCCGCGGGCCCTCCGCAGCCTCCCTGAGCGAGCTGACGGAGTTCCTCTTTCAGATTTAGGGCTACGCAGATGGAAACTTGTGCTGTCTCCCCCGGAAGCCTTTCCAGCCTCCTGGCTGCCAGTCCTGCAGGATAGGAAGTGGAGGCTGACAGGACGAAAGCTGAAGCGTGAACATGCCCGGGCAGAAGCTGGGCAAAGGCTTGGGTGAAGCGCCTCAGGCACAGGGCGCCCTGGCCATGCGGGGAGGGAACGGGTTGTTAGTGGGCCTCTAATCCTGGCTGCGGAGTCCACGAGGTGAGACTGGGCTGAGCTGGCTTCCCCTGCGTCGGTAGGTTCCCCCAGACGCCAGAGACTGCAGGCAGGTGACTCCCTTTAGCGGAAAGCCTCAGGGCCCTCACATCACGTGGCCAGCTGTGGCGGCTGCCCCAGCTGTGGCGGCACACGTCTTTGGGACTTTCCCACAAGGGCTGGTGATGCCGCGCCGCATATGACGGGTCTCTGCCCCCAGAGTGTCAGTTGGATCTTTTCTGGAAACTGCCCGAAGTCAGGGGAGCCAACGTGTTTTTTTTTTTTTTTTTTAAATAATATATGACTAAGCTGCAACTTGACTGAGATGTTGATGAATTCTAAAGTGACAAAGCAGTGTCTCGGGGCAAGTTCCAGAGAGGAAGTAATAGCATCCCCTGAGTACAAGCGATGTCCAACAGTAGACTAAGTGCTGTACGCCTCCTTGCTCACTGAATCTCCCCAACAACCCTCAGGAGGAGGAAGTATTCTGACTTTCCCTGATGGTCCAGTGGTTAAGACTCTGCACTCTCAGTGCAGAGGGCACAGGTTTGATCCCTGGTTGGGGAACTAGGGTCCCATATGCTGCTTGGTTTGACCGACAAAAAAAGAAGAAGTAGGAAAAACCATCTGTGTCTTACAGATGAGGAAACTAAGGAACTTGCCCAAGGTTATGTTAGGAGCTGGCCAACCAGGATTTGGGTTTCGGTATTAATTAATAAACTCATTCTGAAGACATTAATAGTCAAGAATGTTTACATTCTTATTGGTTAAACAATCTGTACTTTGTAATTGTACTTTCTCATCCTACTGTATTGTTGTAAATACTAAGGATGTAAAAAGCATTGTAAATATTACTTGTTTTCCAAGAAAAACTAATAGGCAGTACATTAAACACGGCCACAGATTTTCAAGTGAACATGAGGATGTCGGAAATGTTTTTATTTCCAAAGGATAAAGAATACCTAGATCAGAAAGTTACCTCCACCCCCCACTGAGTTGGTGTAGCTCTTGACTTTGTAGGGTGTGATGGCTAGACACCCCGTTCTTCTCCCCGTTCACTACTCAACTCCAGCTATTTGGAGAGAGAAGTGGAAAGTAGGACATAGTGGTACTCGTAGACTGGTTTATGACGCGAAAGAAGGGTGGTAAGGGAGAAAGGGATGTCTGACTCCGAGGCTACCTCCAACCCCTCATTCTGGGTAGGCCTGTCCAGATCAGAGCCAAACGGGGGCCAGAATGGCACAGGGGGGCGGGGGCGGGGGAGGGGGGGTGGTGGGAAGCTCCAGGTCCCCTTGAGTCTATGGGAGGGACAATTGAGACAGGTTAGCTTCCTCTGGAAGGTGAGTCTGCCACTGTCTTCAGTGACTCCCCGGATCAGGGTAGCTTCCTCCTGGCATCCCCAGAGGGCAGTCAGCATGTAGCCAAGGGACCAGAGAGCCTTAGGGGCCGGGGGATTAGGGGCCAATTCTGGGCCCAAAAGAGAGGGGGCTTGTGGAGGGGGAATTCAAAGCTGCTGCCTTGGGGGACTTCCCTGGTGTTTCAGTGGCTAAGACTCCATGCTCCCAAGGCAGGGGGCATAGGTTTGGTCCCTGGTGGAGGAACTAGATCCCATATGCTGCTACAGACCTGGCTCGGCCAAATTAAAAGTGCATATGTATTTTTAAAAAAGCTATTGTCTTGCTTGAGGTTTTCTGTAGGAAAGTAGCAAAGGGTGATGAAACAGCCCTGAGACAGGGGGTAGAGAGAGAGAGCTGAGAGCTTTAATCCTTGTCCTGCCTACCTGACCAAGCCAGGGCGAATTCTAGGGGGCTGATATTAGAAGATTTTAGAGAGCAGCCGTGGAGTGCCCGGTTAAGTCCTGGAGTCCCATTGCTAGCTGTGAGACATTGGACAAGCTACTTAACCTTCCCTGGGTTGAACTTCCTGGGTTTTTGTGAGGGTTCAGTGAGATGTCATATATAAAGCACTGTGCCTGATATGTAAGAAGTGATTCATGAATCTAAACGGTTAGGATTAAGGCACCACTACCCCCTCCCCATTTTAGAGAGGAGACCCCTTTCTTCGGAGCCTTGGCTGTTAGATGGGGGACAGGCCTGTGCCCATAACGTAAGTACAGCAACAAAGTATTGAGCTGCTATGTGCCATGCGCCGTAAAGTGACACATTTCTAACTTAATCCAGTGACGTTGGCACCATTGTTTTCCCCATTTTGCAGACAATGAAACTGAGGCTTAGGAATAAATAGCTTTTCCTCAGCATCAAACAGCTGATAAGAAGCCAGGCCTGTCTGCCTCAGCAACCTCGTCCCTATTTCATATTCCAATCATGTTTAAATAGTTCATGGCCCACATTGGGAGAGGGGCAGCCTCCAGGATCCAGATGCTATTTTAGCAAAAGGTTGTGAACTTGAACATAAGGTTGGCTTTTTAAACACGCAGCTGGTTCCCTAAAGGTGGGCAGTTAGCCAACTGCCCATAAGTGATAAACAGGGCCAGTACTGGCCTTGGGGCTTTATTATGGCAAGGAGGCATGGAAAAAAGGCCAAACGTTCAACGTCCCACAAGCTAATTTCAGCTACATCAAGCCTGATTTGCTCAGAGCCCTCTGGAATGGCTGTTAGTATCCCTCTTTTTATAAACAGATGAAATAGGCTCTGAGAGATCATGTGACTTGTTACAAATTCAGACACTTAACAATTTTCCCTAGTTAACTGTTGGGTAGCCGTTTCTCCTATAGTCAGTTTATCTCCAAGATCATTTGCAGCATCCTGCCCAAATCAGGATCTAACTGATCCCTGAAGAGGAGCCTCAGGTTGAGGTCATTAAGCAAAAGGAGAATGGTAGTGGGGAGACCCTGGTTCTGGGATCAGGGGAGGCGGGTTGCCTGAGCCTAAATGCCAGCAGGTAGAAGGGATAAGGCTCCAAGGAGCGAACTGCTGGGAGTTACTCACATGCACGAGGCCTGCCTCCTGCCTCCCCCTGCAGCGCACTGGCCACACTGGGTCCCAGCCAGCCTGGGCACACAGGCTCCTGTCTGCTCACTCCATGGCCTCCCCATGGGCCACTCAGGCCCAGCTCTGGCTCCCAGTTGGGCAGAGCAGGAGTTGCCAATCTTCCCTAGGCTCAGGGCTTTTCATCCCCTACGTGGGGCTCCCTGGGGGAAGGTTGGAATGAAGATGAGCATAGCCCCCCTGGCCCCCAGGGTTAGTTGGTTGATTTGGGAGCGCGTTGCTCTGATTGCTTGCTGATAGCCCACTGGGCAGAAGGTTACTTGAAGTTTGACAGAACGGAAGGCACTTGGGAGGAAAGGTTGAGTAGAAGGTTGATGGGATTGATGATGCTGGGCAAGGGAGTTGAAATGGGGAGTACCCAGGAGTTAGGCTGGATTGCGGGCTGAGTGGGTGTATAGCTTGAGGTGGGGGTTGCAGGAATGGAAGGTGTGTGGAGGGAGAGGGGCGGCATGCCCGGGACGGGAACTCTGCACCTGGTGACCACAGGTGGAGGGCAGTGAGGTACAGAGTGGTCCCATGCCAGGCTGTCTGCGGTGGCTTGGTTTCTGCTGATGCCCACCCCAGGGATACTCAGTCACGGTGCTGGGCCCCAGTGGGGAGGAGGGGTGTGAACCTGTGGATTCAGTGGGAGGCTCTCCTGTCCTTCCCTCTCCCTCTCAATCTGCGGGTCTCCATCACTGCCCTGACTCCCTGGGGGTGGGGTTGGAGGCTCTGTGCCCCTCGGTGGCCCTGCTGCTTTCCCGAGGGCGCCTGCCTGCCTCCAGGGGCAGATAGAGGATGACAGTCTTCATCCAGAGAAAGCCTGGGCCCCCTCAGTTTTCCTCTCCGTAATGGCACATTCAGGGCCCTGTGGCTCCTACCGACAGCGGGGGTGACCCCGACCGGATGTGGGGTTGGAGGATGGACGTGCTGTGTCTGTAGCATGGGAGCAGTGAGACAAAAAACCAATTCCCAGCCTGACTGGTGCTTCCCGTGACCCAGGAGGGGCACAGTTGGCATTTCCAGCTGACATCTACTGGCATCCGGCTCCGTGATAATCAGGGCACAACGCACGTGTTTGACGGGCTGGATGCTGTGTTGCACCTTTTCCCCTTCGGGAGGTGGAATGGGGAGCAGCCGGGAGACCTGGTTTAGAGGTCTTACCGTGCCATTTCCCAGGACCGTCCCATCTCCGAGCCGCAGTGGTTTCCTCCTCTCCTAGCCTCGCAGGGTCATTGTGAGGCACCTGGCAGCCAGGAAGCACATAATAAACGTTCCCCTTCTATGACTTCATGGAGTGCCCAGCTCAGGAGGCCGGCTTGTGGAGTGGGGGAGGGGAACAGCCCACTGACTTCTTTGTTCAGGGTTCTACACTGACGTCAGGGACCTGGGGATAGACTGAGATTACCCTGAGGTAGTGATTCACACCCCCACCCCCAGCCCTTGCCTTGTCGGAGAGACTTTGCTCCATCCTGTCCAGCCCCAGGAAAACAGGCAGAGCCAGCGGCATATAGGAGATTTTATTTGTAGCCTCACGGATTCTCCCGCCCTTCCCTCCCGGCCCATGATTGTGCCATTTCCCGCGCTCTCCGCACACCTCGGGCTCCCGGGCTCCCGTCCAAGGTCACACCTGCGAGCAGAGACCTCAGCGTCAGTCGGGAGTTAAGACCGCCCCCAGGGGGCGCTGCGGGCCAGGGCGAGGGCTCGGGGACGGGGCGCTGCGGCGCCGGCCCGTTGAGATGCCGGCTTTGCTGAGGGGGCAGCCTCCTTTCAGCTGGACTCCCAGGCCCTCACCCTCTTCCTTTCTTGGAAACTCAACGAAGGGGCTGAAGTATTTCTTTTGTTAAGGAACTTTTTGTTCAGAGTAAATCCTATTTGTGGCTGGTGGTGGTGCTGGTGGTGCTTTAGTCCCTAAGTGGTGTCTGACTCTTTAGGACCTCATGGACCATAGCCCACCAGGCTCCTCTGTCCATGGTGTTTCCCAGGCAAGAGTACTGGAGTGGGTTGCCATTTCCTCCTCCAGGGGATCCTCCCAACACAGGGATTGAACCCAGGTCTCCTGCATTGGCAGGGGACTCTACCGTCGAGCTACCAGGGAAGTCCAAGTGTTATTTGAGGCATGAATAAATACAATAGAGTGTAGATGGAAGAGGGGATGGGACGCAGCAGAGCCCTACTTGACCTCTCCCTCTCCCCTCTTCCCCCCACATTTGGAAATCCCTGGACTCATTTCTCAGTGAGATTCTGAACCACAGCAGTTTGGTCCCTCCCAGGCCTCTAGGCAACGGGTGCCTCGCCTCAGGACCATGTTCCCAGTGTCCTCCTTCCCGGAGTCCCTGCTTGGGTCCTGAGAGGCCCACTGCCCTGCTGCATGGCTTTGGTCAACGGCTTCCACCTCTCCGGGCTTCCCTCTCTGGGCGGAAGGTCGGGCCTCCCAGCAGCAGCAGCAGCAGCCCCCAAGACTCTGGGCCCAGCTCGGGGCCAGCATTTCACCCTGGCCTGGCGGTGGTGGTGTCACACCTTGTACAGATGGACCATCGGCATCTCCAGTGACGCCGAGCAGAAGCGGGTGCAGCAGCGCTTGACCCAGCGCAAGGCGGAGGATCTGCACATCACCCGGGGCCCTGGGAGGTGGACTCGTGTGGGCAGCCCCTCAAACCAGACCCGCTGTTTCACTCTTTCTGGCTGTTTGGCACCCTCCATGGGAGTTCTGTCCTTGGGGGTCTTCCGGAAGATGAGTCGGGGGTCTCCAGTGGGTGGCTGCCCTGCCTGGGCTCCGGGACCAGTGGTCAGGCCGTGACCCTGCGATGCCGTCGGGGCCTCAGGCTCCATCTGCTCCTCTTTCTGTGTGGGCGTAGCTTCCTGTGCCCTGGGCCTCGGCCCCTCACGTTCCTCAGGCTCCTCAGACTCCTCAGGCTCCCCTGTGGGCTTGAAGTTCTTGGAGTCCAGTTTCTGGTAGGAACACCCAGCCTCCTCCTGGAGCGCTTTGTTATTTTGTTCCACTTCATCCCAGACGTTGTCGTACCTGGCCGGGAGAGGAACAGTGGTCAGCAGCATAGGGCCGAGGCTCTGGTCCTCTGATAGCCCCGAGACAGCTGCGCTGCCGCCGCCTCAGGGGGCCAGTCAGGAAAGCCACGGAGAACCCGGAAAGAAGCTTCTCCAGCACTCAGAGGCCTTTGCCTGGGGGCAGGGGACGCAGTGACAAACGCTGGCAGAAGGGACGTGAAAGGCTAGAAAAGCCTTTGGTGATGGCTAGTAGTTAGGACACTAGAAACGTGTCTTACCTGCATCGGCCCCTAGATTAGGGCTCTGCCTGTCTGGATTTCAGTTGACAGAGTGGACTGGTCCAGTTTTTTTTTTTTTTCTTCTTTTTAATTGTTTTCTTGTTCCAAGACATCTTAGAGTAGCTCCAGTGACCCCCCCGCCCCCCATCCCACCTCACTTCTGGAGGGGCAGGATAGCTTCCTCTCAACAACACAGTTGGGGCTTGGGGCCAGTTAGGGCTGGCTGCTGTAAAAAGGATTGGAAAACTCTGGGCCTAGATGATCCTGACCCTTTGGGCTTGGCGTTTCCTGATCTCCTGTATCGAGGGAGGAACTTAGAGGGAGGAAACCGGAGTGGGGAGTTCACCAGAGGTGTTAGACTTTCCAAAAGGGTATCTGTCACAGACTGAAGTCCTCTGCAACTGTGGCCACCCCGTCCTAGCTGAGCACATGTGGGGAGGGAGAGGCCTCACGCTCAAGGTTAGACAATACTGAGGATAGTCACAGCCACCGCTGGTCGGGGGCCCACCCGGTGTCAGGCCCAGGACCCTCACCAAGTCCTGCAAAGCAGAAGGCGGCTTGGAGAACACAGGCTTTGGAGACACACTGCGGTTCAGACTTGCTTCTGCCTCTTACCGTCTGTGTCATTTGGGGCAAGAAAGGTGTCCTGTCAGAGCCTTAGTTCCCTCATCTGAAAACTGAGATATTTCTGTCTACCTAATAGGGTTTTTATGGAGAGTAGATTAGGTGGGAAAATGCTCTGCAGGGTACCTGGCCCTTGGAGAGTGAAAGTGAAAGTCGCTCAGTCGTGTCCGACTCTTTGTGACCCCGACCCCATGGTCTATACAGTCCATGGAATTCTCCAGGCCAGAATACTGGAGTGAGTAGCCTTTCGCTTCTCCAGGGGATCTTCCCAACCCAGGAATCGAATCCAGGTCTCTTGCCTTGCAGGCAGATTCTGTATTAACTGAGCTATCAGGGAAGCCCTTAGCAGGTGCCTTATAAACGTCAGCTTTCTTAGCATCGATGTGAAGTGGGAGGGAGCTTGGCCTCAGCAGGATGACTAGTCTGTGGGTGACTGTGGGTGGTGATGACTTGGGAGGGGCGGGAGGGGGACCCGCTTGCTCAGAGCCCCAGGTGGTAGTACCATGACTGGATGATTATGACCATGCTTATGACAACAGCTCTGATTTCAGCTGGGAACAGTTTCAAATCCTAGCTCTGCCACTTAGCAGTTCAGTTAATGGAACAAGTTATAGCATCTCTTGAGCCCCAACTCCCCATCATTAAAACAGGGCTACTAAACGACTCCCTTTCTCCCAGAGCCTTGTCAAAATGAGGGTTTCTAAACTCCTTAGCACAGTGCCTGTTCCTAGTAAAGACAGCTATTGGGCCCATGATGGGGGCCATGGGCGGGCCAAGCTCACCCAGAGGAGATCCCCAGGATCTTTGGAACCCTGAGCAGTGAATTCCAACACCTTCTGGCCAGGTTATACAGTTCTTGGATCCGAGGGTTCGAGCTTTTGAGCAGCTTCAAGAGTGACAAGTGTTTTAATACCTGCCAGGGATGAAGAACCAGAAAAAAAAAACCAAACAAACATGGAAGCTTCAGCTTTCTTGGGATAGCCTCCCAACCCCCACCTGGAGTTTGGCTCAGCTCAGCTCAGGGCGAGGCCCATTGAGTCCTTCCGGATCACTCGTGGCAGCCCCCGATCAGCACAGTGTGGGGGCTCAGGCTGTCTTTAGTGGGCACCCAAATGCGGCGTCTCACCATTTTAAGTCGGTTCCGCTCAGTTACTTTGCTGATAGGCTGATGTATCTTGTCCTGTGGTTCCTTAGCTTGCATCTGACAGAGAGAGGGAAGGAGCGGGGTGGGGGGAAATGCTAACACAGGATGAGCACCCTGAACGCCCAGTAATGCCTCTCCACTGGGCTTGGCTAGACTGCGATTTTTGTCACCTTGGTCTGGGGTGGAAATGGGGAGCCCATTCCGACTCTCCTGAGCCCCCTTCACCTTTCCCCCTCCCCCTAGACGGAAAGACCCCCACCCTGGACGTGGTTGGATGCTTTGTTGAGACCTCCACTAGATCCAGTCCCAAGTCCAACCTTGGAAACCACCCTATTCTTGGGCCTCTTCTTTGTCTTCGGACGCATGCTGGAGCTGTGGCACATCCTGGACAGACGGCGCGAGCCTGGTGCCTGGCCCTGCCTGCGCCCTGTCCGCCCCCAGCTCAGCCCACACTCAGGCGGGCGTCAGGGTGCTCGTGCTGGTGCTCCCAGGGAGGGGGCTGTGACGTCACTGAAATGTGTGACAGTGGCGGGGCTGGGTCTCCAAGGAGTGTGTGTGTGGCGGGGTGGAGGGTGGGAAGGTGACTCCTGTCTGTGCACATACCTAGTAGGTGCCAGACAGAGGCATATACTGTTACCATCTCCCTGCAAAGTAGGAAGATTCCCCCACCACCTTTTTTAAATGAAGAAATCAGGGTTCAAAGAAATTAAATAATTTACTCAAGGCCAACACAGCTGGAGAATGGTGGAACTGGGAACATAAGGTCTGACAATCAGCCCATGAAACCTGGTTCTCAACTGTGCTCATCTGTTCATTCATGTCATACGTGCTCGTTCATGTGTATCTGCTGTGTGTCCGGTGTGTTCTAAGTGCTGGAATAAAAAAAAATTCTGCCATCAAGGAACTTACATTCTAGTGGAGAAGAGACAGTATGTGTTCTTGTAAAGATTCAATAATGGGCTGCCTGAAACAATGTATATGTGTGTGTGAATGTGTGTTTATCATAAATTTTACCAAAAGAAATCTAAAATAATAAAATTCTACAAATACTCTATTGTGAATCCTGTAGGGCCAGTTTACTCTTAGAGTAAACTTTTCTCAAATTTTGCCTAACTCTTGCATCCACAGCCAACCTATGGTTGTAATTGATGAACAGATGTCATTCCAATATGAATGCTGATGTTTTCATCAATACTAAAGAGTAAGAAGAAAGTGAAAAAGTGGAAGAACGAAGATGTTGGAATCCATTTCTCAATGATCTGATCGACTTGCTTACTGTCACTGTTTTCAAATACTGGGAGTATATTTGCTCAGCATTTTTTGGTTGTGTGTGGCTATTTACAGTGTATAGGCATACCTCAGAGATATGGCAAGTTCAATTCCAGACCACTGCAATAAAGTGAATTACTAGAGTCTTTTGGTTTCCCAGTGTATATAAAAGTTATACTATACTATACGCTATTAAATGCACAATAATAGCACTATGTCTAAAAAATGTGCATACCTTAATTTAAAAATACTTAATTGATAAAAAAAAAAACGCTTATCATCATCTGAGCCTTCAGTGAGATGTAGGAGTAACATGAAAGATCGCAAGTCACCATGACAAGTAGAATAGTGAAAAGGTTTGGAACATTGCAAAAATTACCAAAATGAGGCACAGAGACATGAGGTGAGCAAATGCTGGTGGAAAAATTGCGCCGACAGGCTTGCTGAACACAGGGTTTCCACATCCCTTCAGTTTGTAACAACCTCACTCTCTGTGAAGTGCAGTAGAGTGAAATAACGTGAGATCTGCCTGTAATAGCTACAGACAGGACACATTTACCTTTAATCCACATTATTAACATTTCCTCCATGTGCTTTGGCCACCTGATGCACAAAGTCAGCTCACTGGAAATGACCCTGATGCTGGGAAAAGATTGAAGGCAGGAGGAGAAGGAGGTGACAGAGGAATAGATGGTTGGATGGCATCACCAACTTAGTGGACATGAGTTTGAGCAAACTCAGGGAGATAGTGAAGGACAGGGAAGCCTGGCGTGCTGCAGTCCGTGGGGTTGGAGAGTCGGACATGACTTAGTGACTGAACACCACCAATGAACATTTCCTCCATGGTGTTCTAGACCAGAGGTTAGCAATTTCTTCTTTAAGAAGCAAGATAGTGAATACGTTAAATTTTGCAGGCCATGTAGTTGCAACTGCTCAACTGCTCTTGGAATGTGAAAGCAGCCACAGATAAGGAAATGAGTGGGCCTGACTGTTGCAGTAAAATTTATTTACAAAAATAGTGGGCCGGATTTGGTCCAGGACCAACTCCTGGCCTAGACAATCAATAGGATAATAAACCGAAACCTGATTTGTTACATTTACTTATTTCTGTGGTATGAATACTTCAGCCTACCAGCGTGATGTCACTGAATGCAGATTTGAACAGAAAGGCAGTCACCTCTGTTATATATTACGTATTTCTACCATATTTCTACAGTTGTAAAGATTCCCAAGATCATAGATAGTAGCAAAAGGTAGTAAGAAATTAGGAAGAGTTGAGTGAGCACTTTCCATCTTTGTTTTTAATATCATTAACTCCATGAAGTTGGTATGATTTAAGTTGTAATGATCATGTTGCATAATGACCAGCCAGCTGAGTTCCTAAAAAAGTCATATGCCTCTGTGAGCCCTCACGAGTCAGCTCCAGCACACTCCTGTGAGCGTTAGATGGGAAGAAGTGCGTGGGGAGAAGTAAACAGGTGGACGGGAAATGGAGAACAAAGGTGGAAAGTTTGCTGTATTGAAAGGGATGGGGCTTCCCTGGTGGTTCGGTGGTGAAGAATCTGCCAGCCAACGCCGGCGACACGGGTTCGATCCCTGATCTGGGAAGATCCCACGCGCCTCAGAGCATTTAAGCCCGTGCACCACAACTCTTTTACCTGTGCTCTGGAGCCTGTGAGCCACAACTATTGAAGCCTGTACACCCTAGAGCCCATGCTTCACCACAAAAGAAGCCACTGCAGTAAGAAGCTTGTGCACCACAAGTAGAAAACTCGCCACAACTAGAGAAATGCTGGTGCGGCAACGAAGACCCAACACAACCGAAAGGAAAAAGAAAAAAGGATGAACACTGCTATATTTGAAATGGGTAACCAACAAGGTCCTACTGTACAGCCCAGGGAATTCTGCTCAATGTTACGTGGCAGCCTGGATGGGAGGGAGTTCGGAGAATGGATACATGTGTATGTATGGCTGAGTCCCTTTGCTGCTCACCTGAAACTGTCACAACATTGCTAATCATCTATACCGCAATACAAAATAAATAGCTTTTTAAAGAATGGAATAGGACCCTTTCACTGACAAGATGAGATGTGAGGAGAGACCCGAAGGAGGTGAGGGAAGTGGGGAGAGGTAGTGGCAGAAGGTGAGGGCAGAGAAAGTCCTGGTGGAGGGGCTGGGACAGATCGTGGGAGATTTGAACAGCTCAGGCTGCTCTGAGTAATCTGCCCACCTGCCTGCATCTGAATAATCGGAAGAGCCTGTGACATACAGCTTCTCCCTCACCACCCGCTAAGTTGGCCAGTTTGAAACCCAGCAAGTGTGGGAACCAAATCCACAGCATACCCAGATGGAGGGGTGTACGTGTATGTGGGGTGCTCACCTCTACCTTTTAGGGGAGGTGGACCAAGACCAGAACTACTGCACAACTTCTTTTTTTTTTTTCGGTTGTCAAATAATCCTTTATTTTCCTTTTTCCTTTGCAGTTCTTAACTAGCTGGGCACTCCACAGAACACTGTTGATGTCATCTATGATGTCATGAGGGTGGCAGCCATCAACATTGCAGCCCACAGACTGGGTGATCTCTTTAATGGTTCCAGAGAGTTCTCTAGCTAGATACTGATGCCGCATCTGCTGGGCAGTGTTGACAATCTCATCAGAAGTGATGGTTCCACTGTGCTTAATGTTTTTCTGCTGCTTTCTGTCTCTTGGTGGTTCCTTGAGGGCTTTGATGATCAGGGCAGAAGCAGAAGGTACCACCTCAATCTGGGCCTGTCTGTTCTGAATCAGTTTCACTGTAATACTCAGACCCTTCCAATCACCAGTTGCCTTGGTGATGTCATCACCAACCGTTTTTGGAGACAGACCCAGGGGGCCAATCTTGGGGGCCAGGGCAGATGTGACACTGACTTCCCCACCAGTGCACCTCAGGTACACGACTTTGATCTCGTTGGGGTCAAACTTTGGTGGCATGGTGAAGGCGGCTGCTGAACTCAGATTCGGGACAGTTGAAGAAAGTTGCACCTTTGCCTCCTCTGAGCCGAAAGCAGAAAGCTGCCCAGCTTCTTATATGGCCATGCCCTTTCTTATTAGGGTGGAGGTGAGTGGGTGGTAAAAACAAAAAAAAGATGCTGTGGACCAGAGAAGACACGAGGAGGCGACTTTGGAGGGAAGGCAAGGCGAACACCCCACCCCACCTCTGTCTGCCTCAGTCCTCTCCTGGCTCCTCCGCCTGCTCGGGCTTCCCTCTCCCTGTCGGCACCATCTCAGCTCTTCCTGGACTCTGGTGGACTCTGGTGGGCCGCATCAGGATCCTCTGCACCTGCCACCTGGGCACCACCAGCTGGGGCCCTGCTGTGCACTGTGCACTGTCCACTGTCCCCCTCCACTGAGGGGGAGCGGTCCCTCCAGAACATGGGCTCCTCAAGGCAGCGATTTGGGGCTGTTCTCTTTATTGCTAACCCCCCAGGGCCTTAGAAGAGTGCCTGGCTGACAGGAGGTACCCACCAAGTGTTTTGTGGAAAAGTGAAGATAAGCGGCACTCTCCCTGATAAGGGTGACGGTGAGCGGGCCGCTGGAACGCCAAGGAGCAGTGCGGGGAGGCCAGGGAAGCCTCCGCAGAGATGGCGACGGGCGACAGAGGGGGAGGAGGGCCGCCGGGCAAAAGGCCGTGGGGCTCGCGGACTTTCAAGTTACAGGTGTGGGAGGGGACGAGGAAGCGGGCATGTGCTGGGATAGAAGGTAGGAGCCGAGAGGAGCGGTGGCCAAGCCTGGGGGAGTGAGCCAGACACAGGCCCCATCACAGGCTGGGAGGCTTGGCGCTGGTCCTGAGGGTCAGGGCCTTGGGAGTGTTCCCAGGCGACGGGGCTCGAGTGGGCCCTGGCGGCTGGCCCGGCTGCCTCTGCATTCTGTTCCAGCCGGTTCTTTTCGCCGTCACTCCCTTTCCTCCCTTTGGAAGCTTGGGGGTGCATCCCCAGGGGGGCAGGAGTTTTTCTCCGTGACCAGATGTCATACCCCAACAACGTCTCCTAAAGCAGCACCCCATATTCAGTCTTGTTCATCTCTTCTATTTACTCGGTAAAAACCATTTATGGGCAG